CTTTCTAGGGGAAGAGAAAGGGCGAGCATGAAGCCATTATAGGTTGGTTACTTTCTAGGGGAAGAGAGAGGGCGAGCATGAAGTCATTGGGTTGGTTACTGTCCAGGGAAAAAGTTTAAATAACAGGGAGGCCCTGGACATTCAAATTAAGGCAAATCTCAAAAATTCACTAGAAGAGGTTGTTTTTGGTGGTAAAAAATTCTCAAATTGGTCATCTCAACCTTATTAAGAAGTCTTGAAAATAGTTCCTCTTATAATGTATTTTTTGAACGGACAATAATTTTATAGATTTTTTAAGTATTTATACATCAGCTCGATCTACATTATTTTTTAACTTTAAATTTTATAATTAGATATAAAAGTAAATTTTTAAGTCTTCACAAAGATTTTCAATACTGAAACAACATATTTCAATACTATTTAAAGGTGCATCTTATTTTTATTGTTTAGGGCTTCAACCCTATAAAAACCATACCCCTTTCTTTTTAAATATGGGTGCAGTTTGTACAGAGCCGACACTTTAAACAATCAAAGTAAAGCACACGTTCAAATAGTATCGAGAATGTGTTTCAATACTACAAATTTTTGTGATAGCCTTAAAATATATTTTTATTTTTAATTATAAATTTTAAAACTTCAAAAATAGTGTAGATCGAGCAGATCTATGAAAACTTGAAATTGACGGTTCAAAAATGTGTTACAAGATGCACTATTTTCAAATTTGAAATCCTTTTTTTTTCGCATGTTCAAGCATTTTGATGTCGAGATGATCAATTTGAGGATATTTGGGCATCAAAACAACCACTTCTAGCAAAATTTTTGAGGTGGGCTCTAATTTGATTGTTTAGAGCCTCGGTTCTATATAAAGTTTTTCTTTAAGTATTTATGTTACATGATCACAACTATTCTCACTCATTTGATAACTATTCTCACTCATTTGATATCCAATTGGATGTAATGTGAGTCACAAAGCTCTTAGAAGGCTGTGTCTATTCAATGACACTCTTACAACTACCGACTTTGAAATTTAAGAGACGTGCATATGACTTCCTTATACAAAGGATCATTGATCTCTTTGTAGACAATCTATTATATTGTTTATTATCATTGCCTTCAATCAGCATCAATCTCGACAATCTCTCTCTTAATGAGAAGGTGAATCTTTTCATTAATCTTTTTTCATGACATTGGGAATGTATTCTATAGGCTAGGCTTGGGGGACCTTGGGATTTGTACCATCTAATTGTATGGTCCGAGAAATCTTATATTGTTTACAGCTGTTTCTCTTTGGTGCACCTTGTTTTTCAATAAATATCTGGGCAATAAAGAAATAAATATTTGAAGCGATTTTTTATCTTTCCTTTTCCCAATCAGAGGACACACCAGCCCTTTTCTTTAGCATCCTTTGGGTGCCACATCATCCTATTAAGTCATTTGGGACATTTTCATCCTAGGGTTTAGTACGTAGGGTTTTTGGAACATGAGTTTTTTTTAGGATGTTTCTTCACATTGATCATCATCAAACTCCAAATTGAATTTTTGGTCATGCCACTTGATCTTAAGATTTGAATTTATATTGAATTTCTTAAATTTTGAATTTGGCTACTTCTCCTCAATTCCCTTTCCCCCTTTTTCCTACGATCTGTTCGGAAAAGGCTTCTTTTAGTAGAAATGTTTTCTTAAACATTTCAACTCATTCTTAAAGACTTATGATAAGGTGGTGACATCATGTATGGGCCCTGACTCCTTCATTTTTAGATAGCATTTTTAATAGAAAGAAAGTTTGAAAATAGAAATAGGTGCCGAGTGTGCGATTTTAACAAAGAAAGTAAGAGTTTTGGAATCACAAGACAGTGGATGTGAAAAATTTTAGGGGATTTTTTTGGAAAAAAAAAAAAAACTAAAAACTACTTAGTAGTTTAAGCTCATACAACCATAAAGCAGTTTAGGCTTATGCCACAAGGATATTTTTTTACTTTTCTTTTTTAATAGGTTTTTAAAAAAGTCTTTTTAATAAGGTCTTCAAAAAATTATTCCTACAAATGTGTCTTATGGTTTAACCACTTGTGACTCATTTACCAGGACTTATGAGCTTTTGCCAACTTTGACTAGGACTTTGAGACGAGAAATCAACAAGTACTTCTTTATCTTTAAATCTTCATATTCAAGAATCAACATATTTGATTCCGTATTGTTCGCAAAAATTTTCATATCTTCTTTTTAATTCCAGACAATTGGTAATTTTCACAAGTATAGATTCCACTTTTTTTAGGCTCAAGAGCCTTTCACAAAACAATCCTTTTTTCTGGTTTATTAATTTTATAATGAAAAGAATGGGGTTTTGTCACTTCTCCAACCATTTATTCATTAAGTAGGAATTTGTTGGCCCAAGCACTTAGTTGTTAAGGAAAAACTAATCTAATTTGAAGTTGATGTTTATACCGATCGATTGTAGAAGAAAAATTTTGATTTATTCTGATCAAGCTTTCTTTCTATTAATTTGGAAGTTCTTTTTAGATACAAGGAAATGCTTCAGTTGTAGAGCCAAAGGAGATATCTTTGAAATCTTCAAACAAACTGGTGTTTTGAAGGATTTGGGATACTGCTCCTTAGTGCTTGGGATCTCCTTAGACTTCCAATTTCACTCCTCCACCACTAGCTCTTTGAAGTTCAAATAGTTGAATTCCTTCAAGTTCACCTGGAGTGTCCTCAACCATGATTTGTCAAGCTCAGTCATCTTTCTCATTCTCTAGGTAGCAGATAGCATGAGGGCCATTCTATGCTGAATTCCTTGGCCATAGTATTTGCTACCCAAGTTGTTTGTCACTTTCTTATAGTGACTTCAATCCGCAAACTTATTGACATAAGGTAAGTGACTTCCCCTAGGTTGGTATCTAACACCTCTTTAGCGGTGGTTGATGAACTTCCGTTAAACTTCATTTGAACTACCTTATATAAATGAATTTTGAACTTGAAAATTATTTCTCAGTTTTTTAGTCCTTTTATCTCATGCTTGGGTGGCTAAGTTCATAATTTTAATTCCTTGTAAACAGAATAATTTTTATTTATATTTCATTAGGCATCAATGCATTAGGCTTTTATCTTATGCGGGGGTTGTGCCTCTACTCCTGTTGGGGTTCTTCTTCTTTTTTTCCCTTTGTCCCACTTAAGTGGGTCAGACATTAGGCTTTCTCAAGGTAGCTTAACTAGGTCTTCTAGATTCTGCTCTCCATCCCACTAAAGTGGGTTTCCTAGAAAGTCTTGAGAAAGTGGTGCGGTCGATCTCCTTAGGATTTCTAGGCGTTCATCCTCGGACTCAGATTAATCGGATCATTTCTCCTTTATATATATATATATATATATATATATATATATATATATATATATAGTAAGTAAAGTAGTATACTACTACTACTACTATATAGTAGACTATATAGTACTACCGTAACCGTACCGTACGTACGTAGTAGTAGTAGTACGTA